TTTGATTTATGCTCCTTCTTGTGCGGACTCGCCCTTCAGTGCCTTCCTCTAGAAGCTTTCTTTTTAATCCAGTTCGGTCACCCTTGAATACCTTCTTTTTCGCCTCTGCCTGTGGTCTTGGCCGTTTGATGGCAGCTGGTCTTGGCGGAACCGGGAAACTTCTTTCGCGTTCCTGCTTGGACCTCGTTGCTGGCCGTTCAAATTTTCCTTGTAACTTTTCCTCCGCCGCTGGTGGCCCTTCCGCAGTTCGGCGACATTTGCTGCGGAGAGTCCTGTCGGATGAGTAGATCTTCCGTTTTAGAGCCGGGTTATAGTTGCCGTCATTTCTCCTGGCTCTCTTTGCATACGTCGTCCTTCTCCCTTCTTCATTCTGGGGGTGTTCGTGAGCTCTCTTTTCTGGACGGTGGAACGGCTTCTTTTTCTTGTTACCTTCAATTTTCCCGCGGGGAAAGTTTCTTTTCACTTGCTCCTGCCTTTTAATGGCTTGCCCTTGTACTTGTCGTTGTTCCACCTCTGGAGCTTGTGCCTGCCGTGTCTGCCGTGCCGGATCCTGCAAAAGATCTGTAAATATTTGCATTTTATTACGATCATAGTAGGGTTTGATTTGATCAATGTTTGCGGAGCAGGTGAAATCTGCTCCGCAAACATTGTAAAGCAAATTCATTGATATAGTTATCCCAGCTGTTATGAAAATTTTTAACATAACTACGGATAATTTTCACTATATTTCTATTGACCCGTTCCGCTATATTTCATTGCGGCCGATACGGGACCATTTTTAAATGACGTATGCCCAGTTTTTGGCACATGTCTTCAAATACATTACTTACAAATTGAGGACCATTATCCGATATAACTTTTAGGGGCGCCCCGTATTTTAAAATATATTTATTTAAAATAGAATCAGTAACTAATTTCGCGGAGGCTCGTTTTAAGGGAACAATTTCGGTCCACTTACTAAAATGATCAACCATAACAAGGAGATAGCGACTTTTATTTAACTGACTTTTTGGGAAAGGGCCCAATAAATCGATGCCAATTATTTCATTTGGAAATTCGGATTTAATACTATTTAGAAACCCGGCCGGGCGGAAATTAATATAATTAACTACTTGACATGTTGGGCAGGACTGGACATACGCCCTTGTTAACTTTTGCAGTTCAGGAAAATAGACTGCCTCGCGTACGCGTTGGATAGTTTTTCGAATACCAGCATGAGAAGCTAAAGGGCTGTCATGGAGCTCCTGCAGGATATTTAATCTAAGACTAGCTGGGATAACAGGTCGAAATTCGTTGTTGGAATTCGTAGTTTTTGTATAAAATAATAGACCATCTATTAGTTCGTAATGGGCCGCCCTATTTCTTATCGCCACAATATCTTGGTGGCTAAAATTTTCAGGATCCTTTAAATACTCATAAATGCTTCCAAACTCAGGATCCTTACCCAGTTCGGTTATTACAGTTTCTCGGGAATTTATTGTACATGCTGTGAGCATTGCCACCTTTACAGTATTACCTTCTTCATCTATTTTAATTCTGGATAGGGCATCTGCTACGATATTTTCCTTTCCGGGGGTATGCTTGATTACCAGATTATATTCTTGTAGCTTGAGTGCCCATCTTATTAACCTTGGGGATAAGTTTTTCCCTGAGTACAATCTAGTTACCGCCGCATGATCAGAGTACACTGTTATTGGCGCCTTTCCAAAATAGACTCGGAACTTTTGCACTGCTAACAGAACTGCAAGTGCCTCTCTCTCGGTCGCGGAATAGTTTCTTTGTGTTTGATTTAAAGTTCGGCTAAAAAATGCCACGGGCTGCTGATTTTGCGAAAGTACCGCTCCTACCGCATAATCCGAAGCATCCGCTGAAATTTCTAAATTCTCATCCTTTTCAGGAAATTTCAACACAGGGGCTTGCGTTAATGCTTGTTTTAATTTTTCGAAAGCACTATTGGCTTCGGCCGTCCACGAGAATCTTGCCTTTTTCCTTTTTAATTTTAACAATGGTTCAGCAATAGCTGCAAAATCTTTTATAAAGGACCTATAATATGAACAAAGTCCTAGAAAAGAAGAGAGCTTCTTCGGCGTGTTTGGAGTCGGATACTTTTGTACAGCGATTATTTTTGATTCGTCTGTCTCGATTCCTTTCTGAGATATTTTGTAACCTAAATATTTTAATTCAGGGGCTGCAAATTTGCACTTTTCGACATTAACTTTTAGACCGGCCTCATTTAATAAAGAAAACACCTGTCTTAAATCCTGTACATGTTGGTCTAGATTATCACTAGTAATAATGATATCGTCTAAATAGATAAATGTGGACTTTCCAAGAACAGGCGTTAACACAATGTCCATACATCGCTGAAATGTTGCCGGTGCTCCTGAAAGGCCAAACGGCATACGCAAAAATGCATAAGTGCCAGACTTGGTTATAAAAGCAGTCTTAGGCACGTCCTCAGGCCTAACCCCTATTTGAAAATAACCAGTCGTTAAGTCTAAAGTCATCATATATTTGGTGGATGTTATGTTCCTTAGAATTTCTTCAATAATAGGTAACGGATATACCGGATATTTAGTTATGGAGTTTAATTTACGGTAGTCAATTGCGAATCTCCACCTTTTTGGATGTGTCAAAGGATAGTCATTATTTTTCTTACATAAAACCACCGGGCTAGCATAACTACTTGAGATGGGCGTTATGATCTTTTTACGTAGCATATCGGTGATATGCCATTCTATAATTTTTTCCTTATTCTTATCATACCGGTATGCTTTGTGGCGAACTGGCATTGAATCTCCGGTGTCAATACTATGGTTAGTAACCTGAGTAAATCCTGGAATATCACTAAATAACGAAGCAAATTCACTTACCACTTGTCGGATTCTTCGTTGCTCTTCATGAGGCAGGTGGTCAAGGTTTAACATCGGCGGTTCAGCCTTTTCTTCACGAACTGGTTTCATCGTCATCTTAAGGGACGCTTCATTAAAATCCAGCGTTGCTTGTGCCTCTGAAAGAAAATCTATTCCTAAGATAATATGTGCTTGCAGATTCTTTACTATGAAAAACATAACCTTTACTTGTTCGTCCTTGATACGGACATACAGCGGTAATTTACCTATACACTTACATCTTTCTCCTTGCGCAGCTAACACTGTCGTATTATCCGAATTATATATACAATATTTCCGAAAATACTTCCTAAAAAAATCTTCTGCCACACAGGAACTCTGCGCGCCTGTATCCAGGAGTGCGGTGGCTGGGATATTATTCACCAACACATCAATCTTCGGAAGAGTCAAATTTTTCACCATTACTGTATTTAACTTGAAGGAAGAGGGGTTTCCGTGGCCTTCGGATTTCCGCACCCTGCCGTCAGCAGAAATCCGTTTTAGTTTAAATTATTTTTCATTTCCGTGCTTTCCTTCTTTTCCACTGGCCTTGAGACTTTTTTCCTGGATTGCTATTGAACTGTCGACGTTCGCCGGCTGTTTTTGAATGCTCGGGTTTCCTTGCCCACTGATTCGCTTTGCTTCCGTAGCCGTGTGCTTGAGTTTGCTGTAGTCTTGGCGCACCAAATTGGTTTCGCTGTTGATATTGGCGTCTTCTTTCAATGTCCGCCGTTCTTCTACTTTCAAACTGGAATGCTAGCTCAAATAACTTTTCCAGTGTAGTCGGATTTCTTAATTCAATAAAGTCTTGCACTTGGGGCAGTAACCTCGGCAAAATCACTTGAATTATCTCAGGATCCGGACGGTTTCCATACAAGAGTTTGAAGACGTGAATTTTTCTTAAAATAAAGCTTGAGAGATTTTCGATTCTTTGCTGATATATACTGAAAAGTTCCGTTTCTAATTTTGCACGATCCCTTACGACAGGGAAGGCTTTTAGTAGGGCAGTCTTGAAATTTTTCTTAAGTATAGGTGGGACTTCCTGCTTGACCCAAGAGACTTCTGCCTATACATTTGAACCAATTAAGCACTTGGCCCCTCAAAGCGCTGGTAGCTAAGGTAACTTTTTGAAATTTGTGCACGGGGTAGAGCATGAAGTGGTCATCCAATTTTTCCAAAAAACTGGTTACCGGTGAGTTTCCATTAAATGTTGCTTCTGGTTTCATCGAAGCGCGCATGGTCTGGACGATGTAACCAAATCCTTCCAGGGCGGCAGCTGGCATTTCTGGATTCTGAGCCGCTTCTGCAGGCAGCACAGGTTCTTCTTGAAACTCGGCCATGGTTATTCTTCTTCGTTGGGCGCCACTATCAGGTTCAATGTTCCGTCTTACTTTCTTTGGGAACATGCAAGGACCTGACTCGGAACAGAGAGCTTACTAAAGCTATGTTCAATAACTGTGGGAAGTAGACAGGATACACAAGAAGGGTATACAAAACCCTTTATTTTTCTCTCTTTACAATAATTTCCGTACTTCGGAATATAAAGACCCACTACTTGTGGTCTAAACGTAAGAATATAAAAATAGAACTAAACGCTAACTTAACTTTGAAATAATAAACGTGGAAGATTGGCCATATATTAACAGGAAGCCGTATGTAGTACAGAGAACTGTTAACACTACAATACGTTTAAAATTATCAAGAGGATTAAACCTCTGGCCTGGAAGGCAACCAGCAACTGAGTAAAACTTCTAAGGTAAGCGGCCTGCTTCGACTAATTCCTTCCTCTCTCTCGCTTGGCAAAAAGCCACAACTTAAGTACTTGGCGTTCGCCAGACAAACTTTGCATAAATAAGTTAACATTTATAATTCTGGCCGGAAGTAGAAAATAAGAAGTGATAGTAAAGATTTAAAATAAAATAAACGTTAGTAAAACTTAAGATCCTTACAAAACGACTGATAAGAATTGTTATCTTTAATTAGTTTTAAAACAATAGTAAAAATTGGCCTATTAGATAATTATTATTGTCAATTTCCTACACAAAATCAGGCGTCTGAACTAGATTAAAAGAGTGATTTCAAAAAGAAAAGAAATAATTTTAGAATTACCTAGAAGCCATACGTGTCAAGAAATTAAAAGCAACACATAACAACCTCCAGTTTCTGACCGACAGAAGATGATGACTTACATCCAAAATTGTTGTCATGCCTAAAAGTGACAGAAAAATTACTTGCAAAAAGCTCTACATTTTACTAAATACTTACAACGAAAGTTAGTAATTTAGCCATATCTTTAATTAATTTAATATGAAAAAGACTTTAAGAAAATAAACCATAAAAGATTTTGTATGAAAAATTCAGTATTACCTCAAGCATATCTTTACTGTCTTCTTTTTCAATCTCAGAACTAATTACGCTATACTAGCTGCATATATTAAAATAAAACTAAGGATGCAATATTTTAAAGAAAATAAAAATTGGAGACATGTTAGTTATCACTGCCACTATTTTATATTTTTCAGATACTCTGGAACTTATTGACTAGTATAACGGGAAGCTCGTCCGGCTAACGTAGGAAAATCTGCAGTTTAAATCGCTGAAAGAGTATAGCTGAATTTTCGAGTTTCTCACCCCCAAAAAATCTAACAGCTGTATAGATTGATCGAACCGTCAAAGGTTTCTCATTGCTTCATATTCCGTGGGTAATATAATTTCAGGACTAATACATATTTCATGAACAAATTATATTCTTTGTAAATAACGTAATAGGTTATTATAAGGTTCTATTATTTTTACTAGTAGTTATTTCAATTCGTTAGCCTTTTCCGTCTTTTCTTATTTCCCTCACGTTTCTTCGCTAGTATGTTAATCAGGGTGGAAGAGAGTTCATTTAAACTTGAAGTAGCGAAAAGTTTAGTTAGAGCGTAGTTTCGCTAATGACAAAAGCATTTTGTTAATTCTACAGCTCTTGAACTTATAATTTCGGTGGCAACGATGCGAAGCTGAGATTCTGTTCATATAATTATCAAGAACAGAATCTCGGCTTCGCATCGTTGCCACCGAAATTATTATTATCTCACCGACTTATGTTTCTGAGTCAATTTGCTAAGTTAAACCGCATTGTGAAGTCTTGCACTACTATTTACATTTGAATTAACTTGTTACGTTATCTTTTAATTTCCTCAGCGCAGGTAGTTGGTGACTGTGTAAGCACATTAAGTCCGTGCCGTCTGCAAGCTATTGTGTTCAATAAAAGAATCTTTTACACCTTTCCTTTGTTGTATTCATCTTCGACTCTTATTGCGAGGAATCGCAATATAGAACTTTAAGTAGATTTAGTTACAGTGTATGTTAGCTAAGAAGACTTACAAGATCTTCCTCCCTTTGGCCACATAAACTCTACTAGATCATACTAAGGAACCTGGCGACTTCTTGCACAGGCAAGAAATAATACCAGCACAGAATAAGAGGGAAAATAACCCTTTATTATTATTATGAACAGAATAATAATTATAATTATTATGAACAGAAAGGCACGTACTTCGTGCTTTACAATAACACCGACAATTTGCGGTAGAACTTAAGAGTTGTTACACAATAAATTCAAGTCTAAAGAGTAGTGCTGGACTAGGAAATTCCGCCTCCTTTTAGAAGTCAGAAATAGAAACGCTTAACTGAAGAAGACGTTACGATAAAGACCAAAGAAGAAGTTGCATTTTTCAATGTGTATTTAAGAAGTTTTCTTCTAAATTAATTCTCATAGCTAATTTTCGTCCATTTTCTATTTGTAGAGGATAGATCAAATCTGCAGACATAATTCTATATTTCTTGGGAAAAAATGACTGAAAAGGAAATGCGATCTATCCGATGCGAGTCATTATGAATATGCTTGAATTTAATTTTCAAGAGTTCAACTTCTCCTCTCCCCAAACACCACCTAAGAGTGTGCTTCTGAAAATTTCGCAACAGCACTTTCTTTGATTCCAAAAGAATCATTCCTATAACTTGGTTTCTCTTCATCTCAATTAAGGATAATAAATGTCACACGTGCAAGAATTCTAACATTTTGCTCACAGTACAGACAGAAAATCACATGGTCGCTTTTCATGGCATTGCACAGTATCACTGATTAGTGACTGTACATAAGTTTTTGCCCTCCAAGGATATTACTGGGCCTCATCAGCTTCCTTATTCAGTAAATTTTTCTCCCTTGTATTACTTCTTATTCCCTAAATTAAAATTGAAACGAGAATAAACCTATTATTATGAAATTAATAAGTTTCTTACAATCTTGGTCGAGTTTCTCAGATATTTTCACTCAAAAAAGCGTATTATCGAGGCTGTTGTAATGCGCAATTAATGTGATCTGAAGGAAAGGCATCGATGCATAAGGATTATAGTTTGAATTATTTGCTGGAAAGTTGATTTCGTTTATTCGCTCCAGAAAACTACCGAGTTTTCTTATGATGAAGAGAATTAAATTTTTTGCCGTATTTTGAGAAAGACAAATATACCCTTAACATGAGATACATTAAAATCAATGAAAAAGTGGTGAAGAATTTTTCATAATAATTGTCACGTAAAATTTATTACATTCTAAATGTTTTCAGTAAATACGTAAAAAAATCAATAGTTCCTCAAATATCTTGGGAGGTTTATCTATTTATTTTTAACTAACAGTTAAGTTGAAAAGCCTTTCCTACCTCTCTTTTCACCCACACTTTTCATGCCAGAATATAAACGAGATAGCGAGAGTTTATTCAGATTAAGGTAGAAGAAAAATGCTATTTAAGCAATAGTTTCAAAAGTTAGTTTTAGAGCATGTCTGCCAATTCCAGGCCGCGTTGTGCCGTGATTTTTAGAGACTTGCGTTAGCGACGTTGAGTGTTCTAGCCATTATGCTTGTCTCGCCGGTTTACTACACAAACCAGAGCTCTTCCTGCGGGTTAAAGTATTCTTTGAGCCGTTAGGCTAATTTACTACATCTTGAAATCTATTACACACCTACTACACACGGAGTTCTATTCTCGCTTTCTTAGCATGCCTTCGTAGTGTAGGGTCAGCATGCTGGGCGCTTATTCCAGAGGTCCGTGCTTCGATTCTCGGCGAGTGCGTTGCTCATTTTTCACATCTCCTGCTTCCAAAAAATTCTAATGTCTCTACACTGGCGCCCGAATTAAAAGGGTGGTGGATGATGATTCTCCACATCCAGGTCCCCTAAGCACCAGACGCCCTTTAAAAAAAGGAGTGCATAAGGCATTTCTCTCACCTTCTTAGCATGCCTTCGTAGTGAAGTGGTCAGCACGTTGGGAGCGTATTCCAGAGGTCCGTAATTCGATTTCCGGCGAGGGCGTTGCTCATTTTTCATATCTTCTGCTTCCAAAAAATCCTAATGTTTCTACAGTACTTTTAAAAGTTTATGTTTCCTAAGAGACATAAACTTTACAATGGGCTTAGTAAATATACGTAGAGCAAACTATTGTACAATGTATAGTAAATTACAATACAGTATATGATAAAATACAATTGCTGTACAGCACTCTTAAAGTATGAAAAAAAAACATAATTAAAAACAATATAGGATGTGCGCTTACCATATATATTATGACATGTTTTGAAGAACAAAGAATAGTGTGACATGAGAACAAGGCAACAAAGAATAGTCCTATAATGGATAAAAAAAATATTAATTGATTAACAGAAATGTGTTTGTTAAAAATCGCACAAATAACTGCAATAAAGTGCAACTAACATGAAAAAAAAAAACATAAAACAATAATTTTTCGATTGGTTTTGAAGAATAAAATGAATAGCATAGCATAAAATTCTAAGGGTTTCCTTTCCTTTTATTATACAGATCTATAGTACTTTATTACCAGTAAAATGACTCGTTTAAGCCAAGCTGAGTCCCTCATGATTATTCCTCACAATTTGTCGTTTTTTGTTTTGAAAAATAAAAATTTAAGGAGATATAATATGAGGTTTTGTTCTCTATAATTTGGAACATCACTAGGAAGGCTTTCTAGACAGAACGAAAATCACGTTCTGTCTAGAAAAGCTTTGAGAACAGTCTTTACCCTGAAATACTTAACATTCAAGATAATTTATTTTTAATTATTTTATTCACATATAATTTTTAGTGAAATGAACTCCCGTCTGAAACAAATGCTTGCCAAAAGACAAAGTTTTATAGGTAATTCGTTGTTTTGCTTCTAAATAGGTCTTTTTTCTCCTCTTCTAGTTCTAACAAACAGGAAATATGATTTAAAAAATGAATTTTCAACTTTTTTTCTCCTGAAAAAGTTTAAAATTTGCAATTTGAGTAACAAATTAGAGCTAACAAGGGATGTGCGAGGCTCTAAAATTGCCAGTTTGTTCAAAGAATCTTAAATATGACACATTTGTGAAAACACTGAGCCGAAAAAACACTTTTTTTTTTTCAGTTTCATCCCGGAAAAATTACCTACCGCTTAGTCATACAAAATGGAAAAAGCTTTCATATATAGAAATATATCTTTCTTTCGCCCAGAGCACTCGAAGTTTAGAAAAATAACGACATTTTGTTGTTTTTCGTCAATCTTTTATGATTACTAAACTCACTACTACTGAAATGCAGTTGTTCCTTAACGTTAATTTTGAAGCACGAGGAACACGAAAAATTTCGAATTACTTATGCTTTTCAAAAAATGCAATTCTGTGTAGGTAAACGTAGCAATATTACGTATTTTCTGATAATTTTATTTTAAATTTTAGTTAACAAACGGTGAACATATTTTATCAGTTTCAATTTTGTTACTGAAAAGAATGAACCTTTAAGTTAGCTTTTTAGGACAATTCTGGCATAATGCATCTTAATAGGAGGGTCAACCTAATCAAGCCATTGCGTCAGCTGCAAACGCCTTTTCTGATGCTTCAGTCACAACTTTGACACACCGTTCTATAGCTATGGCTATGGCAAGAGAAGATTTGGAAATCTGTTTGCAGTAATGTGCTAGTCTTTAATAAATTTTTGATATCCTCATCTGTGATATTCCTTAATAGTGGAGGAGGAGGAGAAATATTGCAACTATGCCACCAAATCATGTTGACTTAGTCTATTGCTCTGAACTTGAATTTTGTCTTGGTGGAGTTTTGAACAGTTTTTTCCTTGAAAAGTTATCACGTTTTCAACAATCGGCGAAGCAGTTAGTTCTTTGATATGTCTTTTGTCATCCACAATCATTGTAAGGATTAAATTTTCGAGGTGAATAAAAGATTCCGCTGAAATACTGAGTTGGTGATTTGCAGTAAATTTTGACTTAGATATCATGATGTTATGATGGATTCAAAAATTTCGATTTTAAACTAGAGAAGCACGCTACAATTAAAAATAAAATATCTCTTCTACCTAATTTCAATAATAAGTTTTCGTAAGTTCACGTAAAGTTTAAGAACTCGATCTGTGGTCCATTTGAGGGCGAAAGCTATAAATCTTCTAAAATTGCACCTGATTTTATGGCAGCAGAAATATCACATAAGTATAACTAATCCTTGCTAAACACTGTTCTGTGAGCTTGAAGATTGGAAAATGCAACATGTTCGAAGCAAACCTAAGGAAGTTTCCTGCAACCAGCGAATTTTTTTCGCCCACTGCATTGATAACTCAATGTCCAGTTCGGTCTGGTGGGATAACACCATTATTCAACTACAGTTCAACAACTACAGTTCCATCACTTCCTTCAAAGGAAATCTCACTCAAATGTAAAATTATGGTAGAAACCATTTCTTTAGCAAGTCTTATAGAGGCAGAAACATGGCCAATATATTCTGATCCTAGTCTTTGTATGAGAGAATAAGGGTCATATTTTACAAATTTTTAGAAACGTATTGAATTAATCTTTTTAATTAACATTGTATCGCGTTTCCTTCCTTTAAAATACAGACCACGTACTGTTTCTTAAAAGCCTGACTCTGCAAATTATTTCTATTAGTACAAGTTTTCCTCCGGTTGTTTTGTTTCTGTCAACGACATGAAAAATTTCTAAATCAGTTATCATTTTAAATAGTTACATAATATCTATAATATACACAATACTTACGATTACACAATATAATAACATAATATTTGATAATCATAATCACCCTTTCAAAAGGTTTGTATTTTGTAGTCAAAATAACAAAATATTGCTATTTTTGCAAAAAATCGCGCTTTTTGAGTGTTTTGCGGAAATAATTTAAAATTATAGGTATAAAAAGTTTTTGTGTTTCTGATGCACCAACATTTACATTAGGACCTAAAGCGTTTCGACAATGCTAAGACTACTAAGTATAAACAATTGACGAAAAACCCAGTTTCACCATTAAGCCTTCATTTAAAAAATGAATTTTAAACTTTTCTTCTCATGAAAAAGTTTAAAATTTGCAATTTGAGTAACAGATTAGTGCTAACAAGGGATGTGCGAGGCTCTAAAATTGCCAGTTTGTTCAGAGAATCTTAAATATGACACATTTGTGAAAACACTGAGCCGAAAAAACACTTTTTTTTTTCAGTTTCATCCCGGAAAAATTACCTACCGCTTAGTCATACAAAATGGAAAAAGCTTTCATATATAGAAATATATCTTTCTTTCGCCCAGAGCACTCGAAGTTTAGAAAAATAACGAAATTTTGTTGTTTTTCGTCAATCTTTTATGATTACTGAACTCACTACTACTGAAATGTAGTTGTTCCTTAACGTTAATTTTGAAACACGAGGAACACGAAAAATTTCGAATTACTTATGCTTTTCAAAAAACACAATTTTGTGTAGTAAACATAGCAATATTACGTATTTTCTGATAATTTTATTTTAAATTTTAGTTAACAAACGGTGAACATATTTTATCAGTTTCAATTTTGTTACTGAAAAGAATGAACTTTTAAGTTAGCTTTTTAAGTGCGATGCGCGAACAGAAGATGTAATTTGAAGTGAACATTTTTTTTCTCATTCTGCTTATGTAGACGATAGCCATAATTTCCTAGGTATATGGATAGAAAAAAAAATTTTAATGTTTTTCGGCCCACCCTAGTGCGCACCTTTCAGAAATAAGGAAAAATATTTTAAATGATATGCATATTTTATTTAAATTCTAGAAATGGGCTATATATGCTTTTATGATATAAAAAGAATAAACATAGCAGACGAAAAGATTTTAGTTCGAATGCCTTAGAATTAGCGCTCTGTTTTCAGTGGTGATATTACTGAAAAATCGTCTTCTTTTTTTTAAAAATTAAAGAAACTTTAGCAATGGATCATTTAGCAAAGTCTTATTTAAGTATTCAGAATTTCGATAAAATCGGGGAATCTAAAGCCATGAGCTCCAGTGGTAAATTTTAAATCATTCAAATTTTTTTAAAAAAAATTCCTGTTATTACTAAGTTTTTGAAATTCTTATTGAATAAATGTATTATATTTTAAGTAGTATTTAAGAACGACATAATTTTGTACCAACAACTCGCTTAAACATCCAACAAATTGTTTAAAGCTTAACCTTTAACTGCTGTGAGCGGTCTGAGAGACTGCTGAGGGTTTTCTAACCGTCGTTTCCACCCCTAAAAACGAAGAATGTTCCCTGTCCTTCCTCCTACCTTCCCAAACCCATCCCACAAGGTCACATATCCAGTTTCACACTTCTAGCTTTAGAACCTAAATACCAACGTAAAATTTTAAATTAGGCAAAAAGGCAATATTATATTTGTAGTCATTAGGTTATTTTGAAGCAGAAGACATGAAAAATGTGCACAGCCCTCACCGGGATTCGAACGCTGGACCTCTCGAATACGCGTCGAGTATGCTTCCAGTTACACAATGAAAGCATGCGGAAAGCTGGGACAAAATACCTTGGGCGACTGGGAATTAGAGGACCCATTTGCCAAATTCTTGTGGAGACAAATTATCGGTTAACAGTTTTTAGTTCGGGCACCATTTGTAGAGTCATTCGGTTATTTCGAAGAAGGAGACGTAAAAAATGAGCAATGCCCTCGCAAGGATTCGAGCCCTGAACCTCACGAAGATACGTCGAACATGATTCCAGTTTCAGCACGAAGACATGCGGAAAGGAGGGAGAAAACACCTTCGAGATTTATAATGTATTTCTCCCCCTTCCGGCATGCCTTCGTGGTGTAAAGGTTAGCACTCTCGAATGCGTATTTGAGAGGTCCATGTTCGAGTCTCAGGGAGGGCACTGCACATTTTTCTCATCTACAGCATCAAAATAACCTAATGATTCCAAGGGGTGCCCAAATTAAAAGGTGGTGGATGATGATTCTTGATTCTTCACCACCAGGATTTGGCAACTGAGTCCCCTAATCCCCAGTCGATCTTTAAAAGAGGGAGTATTCAAGGTATTTCTCTTTCTGGCATGCCTTTGTGCTGTTACGGTTAGCACACTCGGCGCGTATTCGAGATGTCCAGGTTCGAGTCCCGGCTAGGACATTGCTAATTTTTTCAAGGTTTCCTGTATAAAAAAAATTCATAATGTCTCCATAGACTTTTCAAATAAATGTCTATTGCTTTCAAGGGCAAATTCTGGTTCCTCTTCCCGGCAGCAAAAATAGCTTTGCCTTTGTGTTAGAAACAGTGATCGGACACAAAGCTTCAAGTGCAAAATATTCTTATTTTTCAAGAAGACAGACCTGTGTCAGCCCAGCCTCGGAAACAATAAAAACTTTTATTTTAAATTTACGCTTATGTAAGTTTAATTTTTGCTTGATTTTACATTGATACTTTAAATAATGTTAGTGCATTATTTTTTAATCAACAACCATTACTTACTCAATTAAAAGGTCATTTTTGATGCATACTGCTTCAAACAATAATTCTAAAAATATAAAAAAATCGTTACTATAATTTTTATACACATTTATATTTAATGAAATAGATCATTCAAATGTCAATGTATCAATCAGATAAATTACACAAACCTGGAAAAAATTTTAAAAAAAGCTTTAAATTTGAAATTCATCGCACCGAATTGTGTTTTTGGTTTTACAATCTGGTCAGAATATAATATTTGAAATATATTTTGCATGAAGCATATTTTGCATTTCTAACCTTCCTTTTCTTCAATATGATGATATATAGTCCTTATTGTTACATCCTATATCTTAAAACATAGTAAATATTAAAATATCGTGCACGTAATTTTCGAAACTAGTTCATTGATTAAAAATTAATAAATGATGACAACTTTTCTTTAATAGAAATATATTCCATATTCACAATAAAGGATAAAATTTTAAAGCAGTACAGATATCCAAATTATCGAATTTTCTTCATTTTTAATGACTATATATACTAATTATTTTAACTATTATACTAACATATTATACTAATTATTTTAACATATAAGAAGTTTTCAGAATTTTCATGTGTAAATAAACAGTTCAAAATGGAATAATTTATGCACATTTTAGTAGTTAACAATGCAATATAAACGGAAAATTTACAATTTTTTAGAACTAGCTTAATAAATAAAATTTCATAAGTGTCCTGTATTTGAAAGCATTTGAATAAGAAGTATTGTGAGTTCAGCATCATGAATATAATACATTACGTCCTTAACGTCGCAATCACTCGACCACAGTCACATATGGAATTGTTCCAAAGAACTACAAAAAAAGAACCACTTGACTGCAAAAGGGAAATAAGAAGCTATCTTCACTTCCGTCTATTGTTTTCTCTTCCTATGGTAACTGATATTTTTAATCAGTTACTATTTTATGTTTTAAATTTCAAAGAAAATCAGCAAAAGATCATTTTCATATAATTTATAAAGTCTAGTTCTCTTAAGGAGCATACACTATAGACCATTAAAAAGACTACTGAAGCGGTCTTGTGAAACAAAACAAAACTCAGAGGAAGGGTGTATAAAAGACACTTTCATTCGAACACAAACTTAACAATTACCCAACTTGGGCTTACACAAGCCAAACACTTCTGGATTAACAGAAATACATACGTTGAACAAATTCAAAATGTGGTAGTTTGGCCTAACTGTTCATAGGATAATTTAACGTGCAGGCAAGGCTCTGGTTTGTAGAAATCCATTGAGACAAAGCCAAATGGCTAGAAGCACTCAAAGCAACTCAATCAAGTCACTAATAATCACGGCACAATGTGGGCTGGAAGTAAGCAGACACGCTCTAAAATTAACTTCCGAAACTCTTGCTTAAGTAGTAGTACTTCTTTATACCTTTATCAAAATAAACGCTCACTGTTTCCTTTAGTTTCTGGCATGAAAAGAGAGTAATAAGAAAGTAGTAAAACTTAAAATGAACTATTAGTACAAAATAAATAGATAAACCTCACAACTCTATTTAAAATGCTGCAGATGTTCTTGTATATGCTTTAATGAAAACTAAGTTAAACTTTTGTTTCTCGATGTCAGTATATTAAATAACTAATCGTAACTAACCTGGAATATTTGCTGCTAGTAGAAGGTGAACATGATTTTCATATTCTGAGGAATCTGATAGTATATGGCACAGAGTTTGAATGATGCTCACTTGAAATGAGGAATCTGGAGACAGAATCATCTTTTTGATAATTACGGAGAAATCCGAAGTTTTACTTGAATTCTCAAAAAACATACCAAATCTTCTAGGTTCTTTGCTTAAGAATACTTTTAGTAGTGCTGTAAAGCAAATAAACAAATTACAGGAAAAATGGAAATAAAATTTATAACTAGAATACATTATAGGTAAAACTTAATGCACTGCATGACAAATTAAATAAACTTTAAATTTTGAACTATTATAGCAACATTCGATCACGTAAAAGAAAATACTTATTTGATATTACCTTAAGGATTTTGTAAGCACCATTGGAATTCTAAGAAATGATTCATATTTTAGTTAGTCTCCTAATCCATGCAACTGGCAAATATGCAGAAAGAAAGATCGAAGCAAGGTGTTAGGAATTTGTCTGAAGTCTAGTCTAATTTTATTGTTAAGAGTTGTTCTTATGCCTTCTGGCTATCTCTCTTAGTATTCCTATTTAATAAAATGATTCGGACTCTGATGCGACATTATCATAGTAAACAATGAGCTTTCAATCTGAAAATTACTTTTTCAAGTTTCAATGAATCTTGTTTAATCTATTGCCATGGAAAAATTTAAACAATTCGTTAAAAACATCAGCAAGAAGGAAACTGCTATGTAAAAATTCTTCAATAAATCAACAGTTTTTATTCATATTTTTCTGAGTATTCTTTAAGTTTCCACTCCAGTTTGCCAAATTCGCATTATATTTTTATTGGTCTATAGTAAATCAATATTCGCAGCAGATGCACTACAGTACTGATATTTGTTTTCACATAATTAAAATTATTTAGCCTAGATGTCTATACAGTGAGTTATAGAAATTTATTTAGAAAAAGAATTAATATACAGCGTACAACTGATTGGGGTAAGGCTCTGTACACCCTATTATATCCACAGATGATGATTTGAAAAATATTAAGTAGAGTTAAATTACTTCGAGTGTTAACGTGACATATATGAACATTACTATGGAAATACATTCAAACTCAATCCAATAAAAAGGTTATGTTATTTATATTAGATTACATTCCAAATATTTAGAATATTGTTAAAGGGCCTTTACAGATGCACTGAATAAGTTGATATATACATGTAAGGTAAAAAATCTGATGCGGACACCGCATGACTTCCTTGTACAGAATATTAAATCATACGCATTTTTTGCTGCATTTCATTTAAACGTATTTTCTCGAATTTCATTAGAGATAGATTTCTCATTCAATCAATTTAGTTTTCACTTCGCGGCAAGGCAAAAATAATAAAAACTCAAAATACCTTCACTAAGAATTGAAAAATATAGAAAAACATAAAACACCAAATACAGTTAAAACAATTAAAAACAGTATCTGGCTGCTATAGCAAAAAGAATTTGGCCTAATCGCATTTACACAGCTTTCAAGTTGTTGATAATTCTACAAGTATTGCATGCAGATTAACTAAAGGCATAAAAATCTTAAATGGATGATAAGAAAAACATAATTCGATTATTTTTAAAGCAATAAATGCACAGTTTACCAACATATAAAAATAAAAATACTGAGCTCACTGAACCGAGTAATACTCGTTTTTGAGTTATGCGAGATACATACAAATGTACGCACGTACAGGCGATAAAAAAATGTCTTCTGAATCCATTTTAAATTAGTTTTATTAATTCGTTTGAGGAAAAAGAGTCTTTTATTTTGTCCTTACGTACAGATGTCACGCAAAAACGTTAAATTGGATTCGCTAGTGGTCAAAATGGATATTTTCGTTGAAATATGCCACCCGGAATTTTTCGTGATTACAATACTTCCTTTACTTCGTAGAAGGAAGTAAAAAGTATATAAAATAAAATTCTTCTGTCAACGAAGATACAGCTCTGACTTTAGTTTTATAACAGCCCCATAAATCCTCTTTTTTATTTGAATATCCTGCCTTTCTTCTTAAAACTAGGTATATGCTTATAAGATTTTATGTTAATTAACCAGTTATTATGATTTAACTATAATTTCTTTCTTTCGTAGTTCTCACTAGAATACGAATTAGTTGTCTGTGCATTTAATCCGACTGCCTGAATGTTTACAGTTAGAACTTCTAGCAGCCTTAGCATATTTGGTATGTATAGCTTATGTAACTCTGGCATATTTGGTGACAAACAGTTTGAAAAATAAACCAACGCAGAAAGTGAAACAATGCAAAATGCCGTTTGGAGACTAATAGTCCTTTCAATCTAACGACCCTTTGGGCTAATAATGATTGCTATGATTACCTCTTAGTGTTAAAAATGCACTTCCCTTGCATATTATACTGTAACTATATATAACTCGGTCTAAAACATGATTATGGCTACTACAACAATTTTAACAAATATTTTATTCCTTCAATTTGAGCAACATATTGCTACGGAAAAAAAAAGAATTTATCAACTCAAAAAGTTAAATTTGGATAAAAATGAGTTTTTAAAAATATATTATTAATACCGATTCACTCATCACGCTACTCTCAAGTGAGACCCTAAGATTTCAGGCGGGTTTCATCTTTCCCTAGTTTCTGATATTCAGCTTAAGGTAAGTAAGTAATACTTCAAGTTTTACTATGAAATTTAACACTTATTTAATCCTACTTTCTTGGGTTATTGAAGGAAAATTAAGAGAGCTAGCATTAATTAACTTAAGGAAATTAGAAGTTCAATCACAAATAATATGAAAATAGTCAAAGGCTCCACCCAACAAGCTAATAATTATACCTACTAACTTGAAAGACACCACCATTTAGCACAGCCATTTTATATTAATAGCTGTTAGCACTAACTGGAAAGACAAAAATTTCGCCAAAGGAGAAAAGGAACAGAGAGGCACTCAACAGATCTTTCCCTCTGTTTATATTTATTCTGCTCTCTCTTCTCCTTCTAAAGTTCGTGTATGTGTGTGTGTTAGTAAGACAAAGCCTCTAGGGCTATCTGCCTAAGGGGAGGGATGCCTTCGTGGAGGACTTTCTAAGGGAAACTGGCTCGTATACACGTTACACATGGGGAAAACCACAAAAACGCCCATGCAGCCAGCCCGTTCGCGGGATTAAGAACGTCGGACCGAACTACCAGTGTTCAGCGACTTTACCGCTCGCTCGGCCGCTGGTGAGCCTCCTTCTAAAGTTTGACCAGCGTCAGAACGGTAAAGATGTTGAATGCTATTATTTCGACCTGTGGTCGAATCTCGGCGAATGGGCTAGCTGCATGGGCGTTTGCGTATTTTTCCCCATGTATAAAGGGTTAGTTTTCCTTAAAAAGTCTTCCACAAAGGCATCCCTTCCTGTAGGCAGATAGCCTTCCGAGTCCTTTGTCATAATCAAATAAAAAAAAACATTTCCTAAAAATCACAACTTTCTCCTGTGCTAAGATATACATCTTCTGGACAGTTTGGTAGTGAGACAATAGAAATGATAGAAAAAGGCTAATTTTTGAAAAATCAGGTTAAAGCTTGGCGGCTGTGAAGGCAGAAAGTAAAAATAAATTTTTGACATATTTCGGAGCACAAATGTAATTTTTTTAAGTAATTTTTTTTAGTTTTCTTAAAAAAATTTAAGACACAGATTTCAGCTTCAGTGATACATCTCATAATTAATAATGGATATCAAAATCACGTTGTTGCAGAATTATCGCGAAACAGGTCACTTTAAAGATATGAGCATTGCAAATTAGCAACAAAGGCTACATCTCTAAATTATCAGTAAAAGAAGTATAAATTCATCAAAATTGATATCTGAAGAGGTATTTTACTTCAGAAATAATTACAAATATTTGGATATGGTAATTTATTTCTAACAATTTTTAAAATATCTAATAAAAAGATGATGATAATTTAAATAAAATGATAATTTACTTCTAATAATTTTTAAAATGTATCATAAAACGTGAAATAACATCTAAATAAATGCATTTGGATATCAGTTAATTATGGCAAAGCTCACTAGGGCTATCTGCCTAAGGGGAGGAATGCCTTCGTGGAGGACTTTCTAGGGGGAACTGGCTCGTATACACGTTACACATGGGGAGAATCATGAAAACACCCATGCAGCCAACCCGTTCGCGGGATTCGAAACTCAGACCGAACTACCAGTGTTCAGCGACGTTACTGCTCGGCCGCTGGTGGGCCCACACAATCGGAAGGCGTTATACTTTTTAGAGTTTCAGTTATTAAGTCAAAAGTATTTTTTGCTGAACCACAACTTAAAATTTTTCGATAGCCCAAAATTGGTAAATTTCCTTGTAATTCACCAAAAATTTCACTTCTTCTTTAATTAAAATTTTACAGTAGATATAAATTAAAATTTTACAGTAGATATTCGTTTTACACCGAAACATAAAAATTTGCTTGATATGGTTTTTGCATCAAATAAAAGATACATGTTAACATTCATTTAAATATATAAAAAACTGAATTAAAACTGAGAGATAGTAGAATTGCATAATTTTGTCAGAGCTGCATCATTAAATTCATTTCAGAAGATTATATTACCTAAATTCAAAATGGTATGTTTAGCTTTGATCGATCATTAGCTCAAAAAGGGCTATTAGTCTAGAAATGGGATTTTGCATCCGTTCGCTATAAATGGGGCATCATTTTTCAAGTTGTTGCCACCAAATATTATCGGCCTGTATTATTTTTAAAGAAATTAAACAATAAAGAATTTGCTCGTACGTATGCATGTTTCCTCCCATTGTGAAAAACCAACGGTACCTAGAGCCATCAGATTTTGAACAACGTAGTCTTCCACCCTAACATGTGCACCAAAAGCCCGAATTTTTAACTTCGAATTCGTTTTATTTTTAATTTCGTATTTTTTAAACTTTAATGAAGTTTTGGTTAACAAATTCAACAATTTGAAAGCGAGCAATAGCAAGACTGTACGGAATAAAACATTTTTTATCTCCAGTGCGCGAGACTGTCTATTGGGAATTCTAAAGATATGGTTTTTTTTTTAATGATTTGTGGTTTTGCTGTTGAACTGAATTTCATGTTGCGAAAGTGCAAAAAAAACGTGATCCTTAGTAAATAAACTTAACACACAAAAAGTTAATAACAGAAGAGACAAGAATGTTTTTGTTAGCCAT